CGGTGCACGGCGTCCTTCCGGGGGCGGGCAGGGCCCTTTCTGCCATGGAGAACTTGTGATCAAACAAGGTAGGTCAAATAATTAATTTATGCTTCTACATAGAATAATGCCGGGTTTTAGGGCTGGCTTTGGAAAAAGGGTTCTGGCTTTTACAACGACCTGGCTTGGGGAAGGGGGTGCTGGGTTCTGTGGCACCCCCGGGAGAATGGGATGACAGGCAGGTCAGAGAACGGCTGCTGCCAAGGCCTGCATTTTAGGGTGGTTCTCCGAGCCCCATCAACGTGAGATCACGTGACCGTAGACCAAACGAACCTTCAACACCAATTCCTAGCACCGCAAACAATGACCAAAGGTTGTAACGTTTTTTTTTTACATGAGGATCAAGATTAAGCTATTTTAAGAACAATTTAAATAGTCTCAAACATTTTCCAACTTGAGTGTAAATCTGAGCACATGTAATACTTCCAAAGAGTCAGACTGTTTTGAGATTCTCTTTGGATTCTAGTAACCATTTTATCTTAAAATAAATCACTATACAAAAATTAACAGTTTGGGGACTTCTTTCCCCTCAAGAGTGGCAGGACCAGACCAGGGCAACCAAAGGCTCTGATGGAAGCTCTTAAAGGGCAGCTCCCGGGGCAGCCTTGAATCCCTGACAATACTGCTGACACCAGGCGGGAGAAAGAGTGAGCTAGAAACAGGCGCGACCCGTACCTTTCCACAGACACCGAAGTCAGGGAACGAAGCTGCGTCTCCAGTTAGGATTGAGAGACCAAAACCAAATATCTGCATAAACCTTTGACCACAAGTTTCTGTTTTTGCGCTCTTGTGTACTTGATGTTTTTATTTATTTTAACTTACTGACATTTATTTTTGTTTAAGCGTGTCTACATTTTTCCTAAGTACAAACCTTAAACACATGCGTATTTCTGTGGATAACTCAGGAGATTTAGCTATTATCATTAGACCAACGATATTAAATCAGCCTTATTACCAAAAATCATAAAAACACACATCATTTGGTTTTGATTGGGTTCACAGTTTTATGAACTTTGTGTCCAACTTTGACATCTTGAAAATATAAAAATGACTAATAAATGCAGGAAAAAATGTACACGGAGGCCGGGCATGGTGACTCCCGCCTGTAATCCTGGCACTCTGGGAGGCCAAGGTGGGAGGATCGCTTAAGCTCAGGAGTTTGAGACCAGCCTGAGCAAGAGCAAGGCCCCGTCTCTACTAAAAATAGAAAAATTAGCCAGGTATGGTGGTGCCCACCTGTAGTTCCAGCTACTGCAGAGGCTGAGGCAGGAGGATCACTTGAGCCCTGGAGTTGGAGGCTGCAGTGAGCTACAATGATACCAGTGCATTCTAGCCTGGGTGACAGAGCAAGACTCTGTCTGAAAAAAGAAAAAAAAAATGTATACTGATAATTTGAAGGCATTTTTATTTTTGACGTTATCAATTATAATTTTTTAAAAACCCGATTTACCAAAGATTAATAACTTCACGTGAGTTCAAAAAATATTTGCATTTAATTAATTTGTGAGTGCTCCCTCATTTATTAGCCAGTCTGGTACCATGTAGACACAACATATGATACATGCACAAAACTCATCTAAACACACACGCACGCAGGCACGCATACACACACACACACACACACACACACACACACACACACACACACAGCTCCAATAGCTTTTACTTCGCAACTCTAGCCATGAGATAATAACACAAACTCACCAGTTGACAAGACAACTGCATCCAGATGACTTCTGATGAAACCGGAGCTTGTTCACGTGGCCAAACCTACTCGCCCTCACGGGTAATCTAACAATGCCAGTGGATCAGTCTTGGGTAAAACAGTTTCCATGGCAGTTTGATTTTTAAAAAACCTCTTTTACTCTTTTTTTCCCTTCAGTTTAAAATGAGTTTTCAATCAACGGAAAAGAGCCCAAACTCAAAATAATTGAAAGAGGTTTATTCTGAGCAGAATGTGTGCAGCCAAGCCCGGAAGGCTTGACCAAGTGGTCTTGCTGTTGGGTTCAGTTTGGTTTGTCCATTTCAGGGGGACAGGAATTAAATCAACACATGGAAGGCGTACATTGGTTTGGCCTGACAAGGCAGGACATTTCCAAATGGGGAATTACAGGTTATAGGTGGGTTTAAAGATTCTTTGATTTGTAGTTGGTTAAAGAAATGGAGCTTTGTCTAAAAGCTTAGACTGTATTAAGATAAGGACGTCTGTGAATCAGAGACAAGCCACCGGACGTCGACGTAGACTCAGACTCACGACATCTGTTAAGTAAATTGAGGACCTGCAGGTGTGGTTTAAACTTCATCTTGCAAAGCCTTGGGCCTGGTAATGAGTTACAAGGGCATCTCCAAGAAGGGAGGGGCGTGACGAGGCCGTCTGACCTCCCTTCTCAGGGCCAGCAGCTCGGCTTTGGGGTATTTCTGGGGTCTCCTTGGCCAAGAGGGGGTCCATTCAGTTTGCTGGGAGCTTAAGATTTTTTTTAGTTTATACCAGAGAAACGAGTGACCACAAGACAGTTTGAGCTGGCAGCTTCCCAGGACGCATGGGGTGGGGGCATTTAGACAAAAAACGGGCCCCTCCTGGGGTGAGGGGAGGAGGGCTCTCCAGAAGCGCTGGATCTGGAGGGGGGGCGGTCAGCCAGGAGAGAAACCCTTGTCCTGGCAACCTGGTGATCAAGACAAGGAGCTTGTCCTCAAAGACATTTCATCCCAGTAAAAGCCAAGGTAGGGGTGGGGGGCAGATAGGAGACCTTGAGCCTTTTGGCCCCCGCGGGTGTCGGGGGCGCTACTCCCCTCAATCCATCCTCATCCTCTCCCTTATCCTCCCAGACAGGACTACTCCTCCCAGAGGACAGATGTGGCCCCCTCCCCTTGCCCTCCAGGGCCTGTAAGCCCAGCGCAGCCTGGTCCCCCAGGACAGTCCCCTCCTCCTCCTCCTCCTCCTGCTTGGGGGCAGGTCAAAGGTCGCTGGGCCCGCCCCTGCAGCTGCTCTCTGTCCTCTCCCACCTGTGCCCTGGCTGCATCCCCAGGGGGAACCCTTGGGGCAGGGCAGAAACAGACCCTGCAATCCGAGAGGGGGGTGGCCGGGTGCGGAGGGGGTGTCTGCGCCTCAGCCCGGCTGCAGCCCCCAGGACACCCGCCCAAGGCACCAAGCGACGTTGGTTTTCGCTGGGTGTCCGGCGGGCGAGAAGGAGGCAGGCGGCCCATCGCGCCCGCCCCGCGCTCGCTCGGTTTGTCCCAGCGCCGGGTGCCCAGCCAGGTGGCTCGTGCAGGTGGCGCTGGCTGGCGGGGCTCGCGTCCCCTGCGGAGGTCGGGCGGGGCCTCGCCTGCGGCCCAGCACGCCCTCCCGGCGGCCCGTCCTCCAGGCCAGGAGAGAGAGCTGTAGCCCCAAACACCTGGGGCTCTGCAGGCCCCGCCCAGGCCTGGAGACCCGGTGCCCCAGACGGCAGGCAGCTGTCCCCTCTCCAGAGAGGCTCCTGAGGGCCAGCGGAAGAGAAGCCACTTGGACCTCAAGGTGGCAGCATGCCCACCCCCCCATGTCCCCAACCTGGCTGGGGCCGGGCCCCTCCCACTGCCCCTTGGGCCTGTCCCTGGGACCCTGGGGCTTGCCCAGCGTGCTGTGGGGCTCTGGCAGTGGCTGGGGCCATCTGACGAGCACGAGGTGAGCTCCGGTCCACATGCCGGGCCCGGGGTGGCCACTGCCCCTTTGGCCACGATCTGCTGGAGGCGACCTTTGCTGGGGAGGGGGACTCAGCCAAAAGCCTTGCTGGAGGAGGGCTGGACGGGCCCAGGCGGGTCCCTGTGTGTGGCAGGGTGCAGGCCACCCTGCAACTGCTGTGGCTCCGTGCAGCTGGGAGACATGACTGCACCCAGCCTGGCCTGTGGGTGCTCCCTGGGGAGGGTCTCAAGCAGCCCCGGGGGCCTGTATGCCGGCCTCACCCCCACCTCTCCCCCTCTTGAAGTCCACCCTCCGCCCCTAGCCAGGTGAGCTTTTGGGCTTGCAGGTGAGGTTCCTGCTCCAAGCGCTCCCGGACAGGGATGTAAGGCCACGCGCCTCGGCCACGCCCAGGCCCCACGTGATTAGCTCTGTCCACTAGCACAGTCCTCTCCGGGTGAGCCCTTGGTCCCGAGAGCCTGGGCCTCAGTGGCTGGGTGAGCCGAGGGGCATCCCACGTCGCTGGGCAGCGGGAACCAGAGCCCTGGTCAGGGGAGGTGGACACCTAGGGAAGAGGAAGCCACTGACAGAGCGAGGCAGGGAGGGGTGCCGGGGGGCCCAGGGACGACAGGGACAGTGAGGCCATGGGGCAGGGGCAGCCTCCACCTTGGCCCAGGAGCCTGGTCTGACTCCTGGCAGGGTGGCCCCTCTGCCCTCCGTCCCCCAGGTCCCCTGTTCGGTGCAGCCCACCCAGCCCACAGTGGGAGGCAGGGCACACCGAGGTCCAGCCTTCTACACCCCCCAACCCTGCACCCCCGACGCCCGGCGCTCACTGCACTGGAGGTCGCACAGCTGCTGCGGGATGGAGAAGTGGACGTCGGTCCTCAGGCCCTGCAGGCACAGGGCGGCACAGGGTCGGCTGGACAGGCCGGTTTGGGTGTGGGGGAGGCAGTCAAGGCTGGCGGGGCAGCGCCACCCACCTGGATGCAGACGCCTGGGGCACAGGCCTCTTCCCTGGGCAAGTCCAGGAAGGCAGCCGCCGAGTCGGCAGTGGGGTCACCCTGGATCTGGGAGGGCGGGTCACAGGCAATGGGGGAGGGCTGACCAGGCCACACTGTGTCCTTATCCCACAACCTCTCGCGCCAGCAGTGCCACCCCTCCCCGCCAGGCAGGCCAGACCGCAGGCAGACCCCTCAGGGCCCCGGTGGGCCGTAGGAGCGCTGCAGGGAAGTGACGTCCCGCCACCCTCCCCAGGCCGGGCCCCCCCCTCAGCTCACTGAGGCGGGAGGGAGGGGGCTGGCCGGCAGCGCTAGTCGGCAGGTAGGCAGCTGCAACTTCCCTCCGCGACACAGGCGCACCTGGAAGTGGGCGGGGCTGGGCGAGAAGAAGGCGGCGCGCACGAGGCCGGGCTGGGGTGCTGGCTGCACGGCCATCTTCCAGGCTGGGCGGAAGGGTGAGGTCCTCACTGGCCCCGCACCCCGCCCACGCCCTCCCTGCCCCACTGGGCCTGACCCACCCACTCCACCTGCCCCGTCCCACTGGGCCCTCCCTGGCCCAGCACCGGGGGTCCTGCCATCCTGGCCAACACGCAGCCTGGAAGCAAAGGGTGCTATCTGCTGCACCCCCAGGCCAGCCCACCCCTGCCCCCCAGGAGCGCTCACCTGGGAAGCGACGTTGTTGGAAAGGGCACCTCACCCGGAACCCCAGGTTGGTGGAGAACTGCAAAGAGGGGTAAGGACACAGGTGTGGGCGACCCGGGCTGGGACGCGCTGGGCGGACTTCAGGGCTCCCTCCTTCCCTCCCGGGGCCCTCAGCTCCCCGCTGTCAGATGAGGAGGGGGTCAGAGGGGCAGCTGGGAGGCAAGGCCCTCGCCTCTCCCTGCTCTGATCCGCTGCCCCCTGCCTGCCTCCTTGCCCCTGCCCCCTCCCTGAGCGTGGGCAGTGCCCAGGGCGGGCCGCACTGGCCACTCACCTTCAGGCAAAGCTGGGGCTGGGTGTCCACCAGTGGGTACAGCACCTGCGGGGGCTCCGGTCAGGGCTGTGGCCGTCCTCCCCCACCCCCACCCCTGCCCGGGACACTCACTCTGCCCTGTGCTGGGCGGCCGGAGTGCTGCAGCTCCTGGCAGGGGGCCCCGGGTCCTGGGCACCAGCACAGGCTCACACGACCACTCACGGGGCAGGTGGGCTCCCAGCTCAGCGCCTGGCTTCCTGGGTGGTAGTGGATGGCGTCCCACAGAACCTCCGTGTCTGCAGGGACCCTCCCCACGAACACAGGTCAGCCGGGCCCTATGGCTGCCAGCGGGCCCACGGGGACCCCCTGCAGTGACCCTAGGGCTGGAGGTCAGGAGCAGTTGTCCTGCGGGTCTCTGAGCCCTGGCCCGAGTCTCTGCACGCACGTGGCGGTGCGTGTGGTGTCGCTGTGTGTGGTGCGTGTCACTCAGCAGAGCCCAGCGCAAGGCATCGCTCCTGCTTCCCGGGAAGCGCCCTCCACAGACACGGCTGTTCGGGTGAGCCGGGCCACCACACGTGCACACACGCACACACACATGCACACAGGCACACACACAGTGCACACACGCGCACACGCACACACAAGTGCACACACACACGTGCACACACGCACACACACGTGCACACCCACTTCCGTGCACACGCTCTCTCCCCTCGGGCGTCAGGCGGCCCCGCCCATCTCGCGCCCTTGTCCCCTGGGCCACCACAGGGCACTTGCCAGCTTCAAAAGGGCACATCTGGATCCGCACGGCGTCGGGGGTCGCAGGCCAGCCCTGCGGGAGGGCTGGGGTCAGCGCGGCCCCCCATTCCCCCCACCCCCGGTCGAGGCCACACCCTCACTGACCTCCAGGCAGAGGCAGGGCAGCGCCTGGCTGTAGGGCAGGGACACTGTCCGCGACACGCTGTTGGCGGTCACCTGCCGGAGACCGGGCTGAGGGGCGCGCCGGGCGGGGCC